ACAGTGTTGTCCAGGATAGAAAATGAACTAATTTAATTTAAATTATGACAACCAATAGAAAACTGAACAAAAAATACAACATCAAAACCCTAAAATTGGGGGGAAAAACAGAGTCTGCCTCTCTCCCTGAAGACAGATTGATCTTTAAAACAATGCACGCATCCAATTCTTCATAGTTAGAAGCGAGTGAACAGTAGTCAGAAATAGCACTAGTATTTTTTTATTTTTTTTCGGGAAATAGCACTAGTATTGAAGGTGGTGATGTTACGATATCAAATTTCAATGATGCCTAAAGGCATCCATGAACGCAGTGCTTTCGCTGTTTTGAAATCCATACTTGCCAAAACCAGTGTCTTGAATCATGGCCACAGGTTCATTGCAAACAATACACCCATCATTGAGAGAGAACAAGGTGTCTTATACAAAACATAAGATCAACTTCACAAATAATTTCTTCCAGGTGAACATCTCCCAAACCAAACTACTCACAGGCCTGTTGAAGCTCATCTGGAGGGATGAGCCAATTCCACCATATGATCCTCCTGCACTTTGTTTAGATGGAGTATCACGGCTATGAACTCACCATAGTCTTTGGTGCCACTATTGTCAATTTCTGCCTGCAATGTCCAAATCTAAAGGTCAATTTAATGAGATTCAAAGAGGATAAGATGCCACAAATAAATCCTTATGTTGTTCTTAAATTGGAGTATATGACAAAGTTTAAAGTTGTAAAAACTGGAGTATATGATACATCCTTAAACTTCTCTAAAATAAATAAATAAAATATGACTTGGCCCTAATCTGCTTCAATTCTATATTGCTTTCTTCAATATTTGCTTGGATCCTTCCACTTATAATAACAAGGACGAATTCTTTCTTGACAACCTCCTCTTTCATCACGGTATCTTCCTTTAATTCAACTTCAACCTCATCATGTAACAACTTTTGCTGATGCTGCATAGTAATCAGCAAAACTATATAACTCATTTCATCTTGTTAATATCAAATCCACTGAAATAAGACTCTTAAAATCATCCATAGATGTTGAAATCCAGATCTAAACTAAAATCCAATATCGATCAAATCAAAATCTATCCATTTAGAATTTTAAACCTGGAAGCTAAAAGAACTATGATTGGACACTCAATTGGTTTAGGCTATAAAATTCATGTATTTTGAGGGTTCTCGAGAGTGGAAGAAAAAGGGATGATATTCTAGAAATCACTCCAAGCATCCCCAAGTCATTTCACTTTTAAGGTTACAACACATTTGCTAAAACAGCGCACAACAAAGGTAAGGCATGTAGGTTTATAAAAGCAAATGATGAGCAAAAACATGAACCTGAGTTTGTTAAACCATACCTAAAAGTGTCACAATGATGGATGGGTTAAAGAGCTCTTTCTTGTCACTTACTATTAGTTCATTAGAAGCAAAATGGCAGTACAATTTTAATTTTGCAAATTATTTTAAGACCAAACAAGTATCAATGACTGAAGGCTCAAAGCAAACATTTCCAATACAGAGATCAATTGTGATATTTTATTAATAAAAGATGTAACCCATACAAAGTCAAAGCAATTGACTAATTATCCTCAACTAAGAAAGTAGTTATTAATCAGTTAAAGAGAGAGGAAATTTAGGCACCAGGCACCAGACCAGCCAATACTCCAATAAATCAAATTATTAATTTTGAAGGAAACTTATAGTTATTTAGAAAGGCATAAGAGGTTCCTTGATAAACCAATATGCTGGATAGAGTTACTCGGCTATAGCCTATACAGTAATACTCTTGGTATTGGGGTGTTTATAAGCCGATGCATTCTCTGCATCAAAATCATTGGGAAATGGTAATCACAGTCCTAATGCAAGTCACACAAGTGAAGAGCGCTCCACAGATATTCTAGACATTAAAATCAACTGGTGACCACTTGGTTTCTTTTTCCAATTGAGCCAGCTAACGAAGAATCCAAACGGAAAAAAAAAAAAAAAAAATCCACTTCTTACTTTTAGGTGGTTCCAGTAGAACTTCTTATCATTTCCAGATTTGCATCATTAGGTCATCGGCAACAAACAAAAAGGAAAAAAATATATATATGAAGCCAATGTACCTGGCTTGTAGAACCCAATGTATTTCCATGAAATACCAATCTCAAGTCCTAACTCTCTTGAATAATCCAATTGTAACAAGAACCCTAATCGTCAGCCCCAAACAGTTTTTCTGAGTATCCAAGTTCAGAGTTCTGTGGAACCAAACCGTACAATCTTGTTAGTGACGCAAAGATCTCAAATTTTCTTCCAAGAAGAAGCTAGTAATTTATAAAGGATTTTGTAAATTAATAACACCAACAAATTTCTCAAATGTCAATATAATTCTGCAACTAACAACAAAGTTGTAAATATTCGAAACAGATAAATTAAATTTTCAATACAAAAGGAATGAAAGATCAATCATTTTGATAAATCACCAAACCCTAAATTTTAAAGAATTGGTAGTTAAAAACTATTGAATCACAATCTGATATTTAGACGTATAAAGCGTAATAGTAACCACAACAACGTATGGTTAATTCAATGCATAAAAGACTGAACAGAAGGGGGCACAGAGACGAAAGAGAGGATTTTTGGAAAATTGGAAGGAAAAGATGAAGAAAAAGAGAAAGTGCGGGAAAATGAGAAACCGTGGGAAACCCTGCTTTGGGAATGCTTTTGACGGGATTTTAGAATACATAATGAATTCCTATAATTTGGAATGGATGAAATTTAAAATAAATTTGAATTTTATAAAATTTTAAATCTTAATTCTCAAATTCCATTAAAAAAAAATAAAAAAAAAAAACTGTGGGATTTGATGAGAATTGTAAAATAGTTAATTGACAAATTTGCTGCTATAAGTAAAATGGAACAACAAATATTTATTTTGTGATTAAATTCTAGCTTATTTCAAACACAAATGTAATTTTTTTCAAATTAAATCTAAATTTTATTTCTTGTTTTTTAATATCCAAACTCATCGCCAACGACCACTATTGTTAATGAAAATAATATTTCAAATTGAGGTTGCCATTTAATTGGGTAACTTGAACGGTTAGGGCAAAATCAGGATTTTGTTGAGTGCAACAAGAAGAAAATAAAATATATATATGAGAGAACTATAAATCCAAAAAAAAAAAAAAGCAAAAAAAATGAAGGAAGAGTTCACTTGAACAAAGGGAACACAAATATAGAAACGAAATTTATTTGGAGGGAATAGGGAAAAAAAAAAATTTTGAAAAATAATTATAGTAGGAAGGAAAAATAAATGGGCATTATTTAGTGACATAGTTGATTGACTGTCCAGTTTTTTTTTTTTTTAATTCCACTGGTAGGGTGTTCAGCTTCGGCATACTCGTGTTCTGAGTCCCAAAAATATATAAATAAATAAAGAGATTTTTAAAAAATATAATTTGAGGAGAGTATTAGCTAAAATTATATATGACACATATTCATTATAAAAAAATACTCCTTCCTCCCACACACACACAAAAAAAATAATAATAATAAAATTTAGTCCACCAATACGTAGTGATTTTTTAAAGTTGAAATTGTAAGAGCTCTATATCCTAATACTAAATGAAGTTGAATCTAAATTCCTTTGGCCTTCGAACATTATGCGATAAGATTGGAGGAGAAAAAAAAACATTATGTGATAAGATTGAATTTTTTATTAAAAAAAAAAAACTCCAAAAAATCACTACATGATCATGCATGTTTATTCTTACTGGATATAAAATCATATTGAACTAAATTTTTTTATTTTTAATTTTTAAAAGAAAGCTTCCCAAACAATACCTAATAGGATTGATTTGAAAAAATTAATAAAAAACTGAACACCATTTTTTTATTTTTTATTTGTTAGCCAACCTATTTCATATTTGAAAAAAAGACTTCCGTTGACACTTTGTGATCCATGCAATCAATTAATTATATATTATTATATAAATAAAAATATTTATTTTATTTAGTAAATTCTATAACTACGGGTCTGTTTCACATACGCTTTATTTAGGCGTTTTGTTTTTTGTTAAAACAGAAACAGTGTTTTTACTGTAAGGGTGTTTTGGAAAAAAAATCAGAAACACATTTAGGAACGAAATTTTATTGTGAAAATGTCGGAAACAGAAATATTCACACTTATAGTTTTGGGTCATGAACAGTTGTTAAAATAAGAAAAAATATTTTTCTGATGTTTTGGTTTTGAGCCATTGTTGTTTTAGCACCGTGTCAAATAAAATAAGGTCACACCAAATATATTTTTATTGTCAAAATCACTACTGTAACAATTTAAAAAAAAAAAATTAACAAAAGGTATGTCAAACTGGACTACATGTTCATGATACCTTGTCATTACGATAATGCTCCATGTATCCAGCCAAATCATTCTTAATTCATATCAGGAATTCTATATCAGAAGTTTCGAGATGTTTAGAATTTTCCCTGTGCTGATTTTCGAGACGTTTAGACTTTTAACCAGTGTCATGTTCTAGACAAGGCGGCTGAGCAAATAAAAAACAATTAAATATACAAGCATGCATATGAGTAGCATAAATAGAGAGGATAGAGAAAAATAAAATCCAAGTAAAATACAAAATTGGTTCAGTTTCTTGGCTGACTTTGAGTCTTTGACTGACCAGATTGACCCTGTCAGTCAATAAGTTTGAGTATTCTTCCAGTAAAAGAAAAGGCACGTACTCATAGAGCCGGCAATATCTACTAAAACAACAAATAATAATAATAATAATAATAATAATAATAGACCAATTCAAAGCAGACCAAGTAGTTGTTTGGCCCTTTCAATCCTGCACTACTCCAATTAACATTTATGCATGGTCTGTGTGTGACTCTGTCTGTGTCGACTATGACTCTATATAAACTCCATACATGATTGATATAATTGAAGTCAAACTCAAGCTAGCTAGCTACTTACCAACACCGGCCAAATGTCTTTGCATGATCAACAAAAGATGGTGTCCAGACAGTTGAACGGTCCAAGACCACCATCACTCATGGTAAAGAAGAACTCCTCCTCCTCCTCCTCCTCCTCCTCCAAGATGAAGAAGCCTTCTCTCAAACGAAGCCGTTCGCCTGTCATTGTATACGAAAGGTCACCCAAGATTATTCATGTAAGTCCTCGTGAATTCATGAGCCTTGTCCAGCGCTTAACTGGAAAGGATCATCATCAAGCATCAACCGTCGCGCCTTATCGTTCTTCTTCTTCAGCTTCCTCTGCCAAATTAATGGAAGTTGATGAAATCACAAGCAAGAGAGACCAATGCATTGATGGTAAGATGGAGTTTGTGAGTTCTGAGATGGGTTCCATAAATCCTTCAAGTTTCTCAGCACCATGTGGTACTGGATTAAGTGTAGACATTTACCCAGAGATACAGAAATTTGGGGGAAAATGTACTGAAAGATACCAGGATTAGAATCAAACTTCTTTTTTTTTTTTCCCGAATTTTTCTTCCTATGGGATGTTTCATTCTTCATGGTTTCGGGATATATAGACAAAAATAGAATATTGCCCGGTTTGTGCAATTCTAGCTCTCTTTTTCTTTTTTCTGTAAGCAGTTTTATAATGATATGACTTCGACATATATATATATATATATATATATATATATATATATATATATATTGGTAATAACAATGAGATGACTTTATGTGTACTCTAAATGAATCCGTCCATGAGTTCTTTTACGTTTAGGCTGTCAAGGAAAATTTGGGTTAACATAGCTCAGTTTCCTATTATTTTTGAGAATTGAAAACTAGAAAATTATATAAAATATGCTTAGTTGATGATTTTTAAGAATTATTTTATGAAAATTGATTTTATAGTTGTCTCAGAATAATTTTTTATTTTTTGAGTGACAAATCAAACAAATTTTTTATTCTTGATTTTCAACATTGCTCATACTCGCATTCTTATTGCGAGGCCCACATAAAATAGTGGCCCTTACGAAAAGTGCAGTGAGTAATGACAATGACGTCATTCTTTGTTAGAAATTTGAAATGTGCATGGTTAATAAGCCATCATCATACACTCCAGTTTAATGGATAAATGGGGAGAAATAGTATATAACAAATTAACAATAGAGAAATTAAATTAGGTTTGAAGATTCTTGTCTATATGATTTGAATGCTTTTCCTTTTTATATATATATATAGATATATATATTAATGCAGTAGGATTCCAAATACCTAACCTGGGTTGCGGCTGGGAGAGTATTTAATTATTCAATAGAGAAGAGTCATCTGATGATGATCTAACAACTTAATAGCAGTTGAAGACCAAGTATATCAAAGAGGACCTCTGCTTATATATATATATATATATATATATATATATATAATATATATAATTGTTTCTTTTTCCCTTCATTTCTTCTACACAATTAAAAAGCTTCCCCTCAGTAAGGGTGTACTTGTAATTTCATTTAATTCTAGATTGAATTGATCATTCACAGTCTACTTCCTTCAACTATGGCCCTCTTTAGTTTTTCGTTTACGGTTTTCAAAAAACTCTCCTCTGTAACAAATACAAATGCATTAAAATTTTAGCCAATCCATTGCATAGTTGGCATTAAAAACTTGGAACTCCCCAAGTAAACATGCTTGCAACACTGCTCCCAAATTTGACTTAACACCGCATGCAGCGCCTTTAATGTTGGAAGGAATCTCTCTCTCTCTCTCTCTCTCTCTATATATATATATATATGTATGCTTGAATATAGTGGATTACAAATAATGTGAAAATGATGCATTAATTGAATGGCCATCACATTTGAAAAATAACATATTGAGTGAAATTTTGTATGGTAATGTGTTATTTTTTATTTTTGTGTTTTAATTTATTGTTAGAGAGATAATATTAATCAACCAACCGCCAAGTTTGATGTGTGTATTCCATTCCAAATCAAACCCATCTCATTTAACAATTTAGAGATGAGCTCAATGTGTGAAAAGAATAGCATGTCTAAACCTCATGTCTTTACAATGAGACAATTTATATATATATATATATATATAATCATGCATATTACTGAGCTTGAGACAATTTTTCTGGCATTAAAAAATGAATCTCCCTGTGATGAAAAGACGGTATAAGGATGTATGTAGAAATCCAAATCACCATGAAGACATGTTAATGTTAACTGTTGCCCCTTTGACAGCTTATGTTCTTCAAACAGTATGCTCTCGAGACTCGTGCACATTTATCAAGATAGAGAATAATATTGGATTTAACAAAAATTTCTCAAATAATCAATGTTTGTGAAATGGAAATTTTGATTTGTAAATACATCTCAAAACCAAAATTGCTTTGGATAATATCGCAGAATTTACCAGTAATCCAAACAAGAACAGGCACCTTCTTTAAAATGATGGAACCGGTTCCGGTCTCTAACAATCAACTCTCTCTCAAACACCTTCGAAACCAGCTTTGTAGCTGTGTGGCAGTCCTCGCAAACCCTCAAGTTTTTCACTATCCGAATTGGTGTCCGAGCTTTAGTCCTCATTATCCCATACGCAATAGCAAGCTTCTCACTGTGCCTGTGAAGGGCACTCTCTCTTTCCTCTTCGTCTATGTCAAATAATGCATCTGCAATATTCCCTGTGTATCCTGCCACCCTTATCTTCCTAACAATCTCATCCCACATTCTCTCAATCTTTTCTATTTCTGGGTGTGATTTATCTCCAATTGTGAAGTTATGTATTTTTCCATCTATCTCAATCAGGCTGTAGCCAGGCGGTTTCTTAACTCCTTTTTCCTTCATCAATTGTCTCATTTTCGTTGCACTTTCCCACTGATTAGCACGAGAATAAATGTTTGAGAGAAGCACATAATAACCGCTGTGTTCTGGTTGCAATTGGATCAAAATGTTTCCCACTCTCTCCCCAATTTCTGCATTCCTGTGAATCCGACAAGCTCCAAGCAATGCACCCCAAACTGGGGCATTTGGTGTCACTGGCATGTCAAGAACAAATTTCTCTGCTTCCTGCAACTTCCCTGCCCTGCCCAAAAGATCAACGATGCATCCGTAGTGTTCCAACCTAGGCTCAAGCCCGTATTCTCTTTTCATGCTCTCAAATATCTCAAAACCTCTTTCAACCAATCCTCCATGGCTACAAGCCGATAATACAGCTGTAAATGTAATGTCTCTTGGAGTTAGTCCAGTCTTCACCATTTCTGAGAAGTACTTGAGCGCTTTCTTGGCATAGCCATGCATAGCAAGTCCAGCTATCAAAGCTGTCCAACTAAGTGTGTCCCTTTCAGGCAGCTCCTCGAAAACCTGAATAGCTTTCTGGATACTCCCACACCTAGCATACATTTCCACAAGAGCAGTTCCAAGTATCAAATTTACAGTCATTTTGTTTCTCACTACATAATCATGCGCTCTTTCTCCTTGTTCAAGAGCACCTAAATGAGCACACGAAGATATCACACTGGCCATAACTGCCTCATTTGCTTGCACTCCTTCGGACTGAAGAACCCGAAACAATTCAACAGCTTTATCGAAACGGTTATTTCGGGCATACCCACTAATCATTGTACTCCATGTAACCAAGTTTTTCTCCGGCATTTTATCGAACAGCCTGCGTGCACATTCAATGTCCCCACATTTGCCATAACCCGCAATCATTGACGTCCAGGATACTACATCTACGTAAGACATTCTCCAAAAAATGTGGGTGGCTGCCTTAATATCCCCGAACGTTGCATACATATGAACCAGAGAATTCTGTGCATACACATCGGGTTCAAACCCATGTTTGATTACTTGACTGTGTGCTTGAACACCCATTGCTAATGAACCATAGTGGGTACATGACTTGACCAAAAATGGGAACGTTAGATTATCAGGAGAGATGCCTAGGCGTCTCAACTGGATGTAGAAATTGAAAGACTGATTTGGGTATTCACTTCCTGAATATCCCCGAATCATAGCATTGTAAATGAAGAGATTGGAGTTGTGAATTTGTGAGAAAATTCTTGAGGCATAGTCCAGCAAGTTTGTTTTGAATGGGGTTTCTATGCAGAAGGAAATTAAGCGGCTGACTGCGAAAACATCGAAGATGAGATGGGTTCTGATCATATGGCCATGGATGATCTTCAACTGAGAGAGGTTTGAGCAAGTTTGTAGCAGCAAAAGCTTTGGGTTCTTTAATCCCAGTGTCCTCAATACTGAGCTACTACTAATATTGTTACTACCAACGTTGTAATTCATTATTCTTTGCAAATAAACATAGTTGGGACTACTTCAAGTACTTGAAAATAGATTTGTTTGTGTCATCCTAGAACTAGTGACTACTAAAAAGGCATACCATTGACATTATTTTATATCTACTAAATTCTAACCTGACCTTTTTACGACCAAGCATTTTTCCTAAAATCTAACCCGACCTTTTATTATTGAACCAACTGAAATAAACAGTATTTCTAAATAGTGGACAGCCCACTCATGCTGTCTTTGTTATTTCCTGTAAATAGTGTAAAATTGGTACTTACATTCAGAATCACAGTAACACAAAAATGAGAGCAGTTGCAGAATTTTTTGGCCATTTCTTGCATCCCCAATTGCCACATAAGAGCCAAATGAATGCAGGCCAATCCTTGTTTAGAAATTGAACTTTTCAATTTTCCGAAAAAACAAAAAAAATTGAACTTTTCTGTATCATCCAAGTTTTGCATAAAAGTAGCAGGTTTATTTATGAATTGGCCGTCAGATTTGACTGGTTTTGGACTGCATGATCCATCGAATGGTATGTGCTTACTCCCCAGACACCTGATGCACTAGAGTTCGCAATCACCGGTGGAGAAAGGAAATCGTTGTTCAGCAATATTTTGTCCTAGTTCATTACCAAATTCATTCCAACAAATAAAAGAAGGCTTCTAAACCAAAAATGTCATAATATTGTGAAAACTGATCAAACTACAACAATATGATCTCAACCACGCAATCTCAACAGTTCTAAATCATTCCTCTCATTTTTGAATTGAAACAAAGAATAAAATTCAAGATATCAAATGTCAAAATTGTCTTCAGTTGCCTTCCCATTTGGAAGCTGGAATTTAGGATCAAAGCGATTGACTTCCAATGAATGTGGTGGCCTCTGTATAGAAGCCTTCTCATTGTTCTGGCTTCCACAAGTGATTGTAAACTCGGTAGGTATCTGGGCCCTCTCGTTGTTCTGGCTTCCATGGGCGTTCTCTAGAAAGAGAACTTGAAAGCACCAGCTTTGGAATCTGTTACTGATTCCCAGAAGGACTTTTTCTCCTGCTGTGCCTTTCTCTCCTCTGTTTTTGAAATTAATTGATCAATAGTTCCAGGGAAAGATGCTTCAATAGCATTTTTGAACTTGTCATACAAATTTATACGGTCTCGCGTTCCAGATACAAGTGTGCTGGCATTTGGCCTCTTGAGAAAATCCAAAACATTTAACAAGTTTCTCCTGCAACATGGAAAATCAAATGCCTGATGACTCCATAAGGAACAAGCGTTATGGAATTTGATTACCATTCGTCACAATTAAGGAAACATGCTATTCTCTTGCATATAACTAACGAATAGTAATGTCGCTAATTTAAAATGAAATCAACGTTGTAAACTTTTGAAAAATGTTACATATGATACTAGTTTAGGTTTTATTTAAATCGACATGGGGTGAAACCATTTTAAAGGCCTAATGACCATTAACCAAGAAGGCACAAACTGGGTACAGATCTAATCTTTGGAATTATTTTCACAGTCATCAAAGCAATGAGAATTATAATACTTCTCTTCAGGTAAGGTGACAAATCCCTATGTTTTCTTCATTTTAAAGAATACAGGCCCATAGAATCCCTACACAGTAATGAAAGGAGGCTCAACATGCCATCAGATCAACCTTCCCCAAAAACAAAAAAACATGCCATCAGATCAGGTGCCAAGGTCTCACAAAGAGTCTAAATGCAATGCACGACACGAGATAGTAGATTGAGAGAAGGAATAAGATTGATGGAAATGTGCGTTAAAATTAAATAATTTAAAATATCCAACACAAAACTAGTCATCGAACAATATTAGCAATAAGTTAGGTTTTTGGCATATTGATTAAAAGAGTTAGCACCCATCATAAAAAAAAGGGTTCTAAAAAACTAAGAGGATTAGCTAAATCAACGCATATCAGTAATATAATGCCATCACAATCAATAATAACATGCCATACCTAATTAGATTAAGGATATGCTAGACGCGTCTAATTAGAGTAGTCAACAATTAGGGATGTCAATTTAACCCATCCCACCCCTAATGGGACAGATTTGGGATCATCCTAATCGGGTTTGGGGTGGGTTTGGGAGAGAGGGTTTAAAACCCGCAACCCGCTTAATAATTAATATATAATTTTTTTTTTACTAGCTATAATTTTTCTTTTTCCTTTATTACTTATGATAATTTTAAATTTAGCAACATTTTTGTTATTACTATTGTTAAATATTTGACTATACTACAAAAAAATACAAAATTTATCTTAAATATATTCAAGTTTGAATTATTTTTTCCTAAAAAATATGTATATCAGGGAGCCTCAAACCCGCCCGACTCCGATGTGGGGCGGCCTAAATGGAGTTTTGGAAAATATTTTCATCTATGTTACATGGACTCTTCAAAAGTAGTGAATTACCCGTGTCGGACACATATTACTTGGACATGGGTATGGGATATGTGTCTGACATTTTTGGGTGGATATGTACTTAAAAGCAAATCCAATCATTCAATTATATTATATTATTACTCGAAATTGAGTTAAATGCCTATATTGAACACAAAATTAGATTAAAACATTACTTTACTTTAGAAATTAAACAAAATAATTAAATAAAATGAATATTTAGCCGTGTCCACGTGTCCTACTATTTAGAGATTTGACACGTCCGATGCATAGACACATACTCGAGTCCGGGTAACATAGATTTTCATTGGTGGGATGGGTTTGGGAAAGGGTACCCCGTCCCGAAACCGCCCCGTTGACATCCCTATCAACAATTAGCTGATAAATTCATGAATTCAATAGATTGTGTAGCTTATGATAATTAATGATCCATTGTACAAGACAATGATATGATGTCACTAATAGAATATATCAATTGACGTTATATAAAGTAAAAGAAGAAAACTATGATTGAATAGTAAAGAATAAAGTGTGCTTTTCTTGCCTTCGAAGCCTATTTTAGAGTGTAAGGCTGAAGGCTCTACATGCACCTTACTATAGGGTTGTCAACAGGCATAAATTAAGGCGCTTTCATGTGCTTTTGATAAGCCTGGTCGACTTGATCTACCTTTTAATAATTATGCCTCTACAATTACAAATTCAAACATATCCAAATGTGTTTCCTTGCATCATTTATAATTTACTCCTAATTGAATCGTGAGCACTTCCATGCTTTGAACTGTATTAAGCCATGCATAAACATTGAATCAACCAATTAGTTATTATATACTTATATATTCCCAATTGTAAGTACAGTGTATATTGTCTTCGATTTTATGGAAATCATTATATTTGATTTCAAGTTACTTTTTAACTTTCAGGAAACTTCAATGGTTATAAGCTAGAACAAGATTCTTGAAATAGTACACGCTGTGTCTACACCAAAAGCCAAGTACATCATAGAGAAATGTTAACAAATATAAGTACCATACCTACTAACAAAATTCTGAGTAATGGCAATGGAATCTTCTAGGTTGATCACCAAATGCCACCAGCCGTTAGGCACAAAGATCACTTCCCCAGCCTTACAAACACATTCAATGGGTTTCTTTTTCCATTTCTTTGTAGCATTATAGAAGTTCATGAACCACTCAACGATTGAAACAGGACAGGCTACCTCTGCACCATCCGGGCTGGGATGCACCCCTGGCGGCACCACATCAGGGGGAAACAATACCCATTTCTTGGATCCCTTTATCACTGCATTCCAAGCTGATGTTGAATTAGGATCAATGTGGAATGATGAACCAGACCCAACTGGTCCTATAATAATCCATCTATAATCTGGCCTCTCATTGCCCAAGACACCGAATAAGTCCTCATTAAAATACTCTGGAACATTATATTCTGACCCCAATTTTGAAACTTTTTCTGCAAATTTTGGGTCAAAGAGATACAATGGTCTTTCTTCTCGCGCTTGATCCGAATACCTAAAAAAGTCTGCAAGCTTCATTTCCACCGGCCCAACCGAAAATGGAGTATCACCACATATCTCAACCAAATAATCTCTGTCCCATTTTTCCAGAGCAGGCCAGTTATCCAAACACCCTTCCAACAACACCGGCTTATTTGGTTCCTCAAAATTCAATACAAATTCATCAACAGAAATTCCCTTCCTCCGAGAAATGTTATCCCTTTCAAGCCATTCAGGTTTCATTTCAAGGTTAGCACAAAGCCAACTCTGAAACAGATAATCAGAATAAAAGTCCCTTACTTTCAAACCCAAAGAACCAATATTTGAAACAGCAAAAGAAGGCTTATATGTAGCAACATAGGTAGATCTCCAAGACCCATTATACAAGAATCCACCATCATAATTTTCCAATACAAGGTTCCTCCAAAGTGGTTCATGATTACAAAAAACATAAAAGGATTTGCTCACAATAGATAAAACCCCCAAATGGGTACCACCCAAAAACCCTAGAATTTCAAGAACAAGCTCATCAGTCAAGGTTTGGAGATTACCAAGGCCTGTGTTTCTTGAGTTGTGTGGGGATGGGTTTAAGTAGAGATTACCCAATGGTTGGACCCCATGTGCGTGTGATGGAGCTGAGTTCTTCAAGCAGAAACCTTCTTCTATTTCTTCTTCTGCTACTCGGTGTATGGATTCTTGCTTTCTTGAAACAGATTTGTGAATCTTCATTCTCTTTCTCTTTGTGGGTTTTACCAACAAGTTCTTGCACTTCTGCATTGTAGGGTAGCTATATCCGTGTGGCTTCAGAGATTCAGAATGAGGGTAGTCTCAGACTCTAACCTATGAACCACTTCCTTCCCACTCCTCCAATAAATAAATAAAAAAAGAGCAACAAAAATGACGTTTGGGGGAAAGGATACCTTTATTAGTTTTTAGAATAGAGAATAACCCCTTCTTCGTTTTTTTCTTTCGTTTTTTAAGTAGAATAGAGAATTTTAAATCAAGAAAAAGTGTGCTAAAAAATAAAAATTATATTTTTGAGGTTCACAATTAACTAATAATTTTTTTCTTACCTCTTAGCTCAACATTAATATTTTTACTTATTTAAAAATGAGTAAAGTGAGGATAAGATTACAAAAATAATAATAATTTATTGAAATGTAAGAGTAAAGTATTAAATCTAAAACTCTCATTATTGTCAAGTTAAAATTTGACAAAAAAAAGTTTAAGGAAAAAGATTTTTCTTCCTAATAGTTGCAGGGAATTGTTAGATTTATTCCTTTAATTGGTCAATTATTCAACAAATAAGAAAGTAGAGACCTCCACTTAGCTATATTTGATATAAATAGTCAATTAAAAATTATTCCAATTCACTACAAGTGTTTGGTGTGATTATATTCAAAAGTTAATGTAATTTTTTACAAGATTAGTGTAATTTTGTTTCACTAGATGATAGGTAAACCAAATTTATCTTGTATTTTTAAATATATTGGGCTTGTTTGGTACGAGGGTTTTGTTTTTGGCATTTTGTTTTAACTTAAATAATATTTGTTGTAACGTGTTTTGAATAGTAATCGAAAATATGTTTTGTAATGTCCATTTGTTATAAGATTTTTAGGAAAAAAAAAATATGAAAATATGTTCGATAAAAAAGTATTGCAAGTTTGAAGAATATAATGGTCATTTTAAAAATCTCATTTAGAAGCTTTTCAAAAAAAAAAAAGTTATTGTTCATCGCTACCAAACGATACAGTGCCAAAACATATAAAAATACCAAATTGGTGTTTCGATTTTTGGCCACTATTCACGAAACGTTTTTGCACTGTGCAAAACAAAATAGTTTTTACCAAAAGCATTTTTTCCACGTTAACTGCTACAACACTCAACAAAAACAAAAAAAAATCAAAAGCAAAACGCGAATTAAACAAGCCCATTATATTTTGTTTTATTTTTCTTTAAAGAAGAGAAAACTTTTTAAATATAAAATAACATCATGACAAGGGCAGTATATTATTATTTATGCCCAAATTAGGATAAATTAAATTAGAAATGTAAGAATCGTGAAAACAACACCATCATAAACTTATATTCTAAATATATATATTAGCCTCTATCTTGAGCTTGCCTTTAAGATTTCCAGCATAGGACACGGGAACTTTATATATTAGGGGGAAAAAAATTCTAAGTTTGCCAAACACAGTTATTTCTGGTTAGTTTGCCAAATACAGTTTTTTCTGGTTTCTTTGATTGGTTACCCTAAAACTATGGACAAATCAACGTTAAATAATGGAATTGTTCTGTTTTTTTTGTTTTGTTTCCTTTTGCCCTGGATGCCACTTTTTGCATTGCCCATGAATTTGCTAATTTGATCACACACACAGCCATATGTTTTGGTCAAATTCAACAACTGTAAAGATCTCATTCTTAACAGAAAGGCAGTTGACTACTAGTCTACTCAACCATAATCTCATTACAAATTCATGACCTGTGCAATTGTTCATTATATTTCACTCGAAAACCATAAAAAAAAATTAAAAATAAAAATAAAAAATAAATAAAGAAAAAACATTCCCACAGTTTAACTGGAGAAGAAATGGCATAAATGAATCAAATGATGAAAGCGGCATTTAATTACAGTTGAAGAATAAAGTGTTCTTAAAAGGAAACAATAGGCACGGCATATTTGTCTTGGGAAGCATACATGAATCTGTAATGTAAAAGGCAGGAAAGGAGTGTCAAAAGACACAAACCTCGAGCCAAATTGCATCAAACCTCGAGCACAAAAGCATATACGAGTACACCACATCCATGTTTCACTGATCGAACCAGCAGCTCTGTATTCAATCTGAAGAAAACGAAGCGAAAGAACACTGCACACCCAATTCTGCAGCAAGGAATCCAGATAAAGAATGCAAAATCTAAAAGTAATAGTGGAATTTACATCGATTGGCAAAGGCTTCATAGATGGATAGGGAAGGTTGAGAACCAGCTTCACACTTGTGTACTTCTAATACATCTCCACTGCCCTATGCGAGGGCCTTTGTCTAGAAGCGTTAGCAAGCCTGCATTGTTCGCTGACAGCCCAAACATGTACCTAAAAATAGTATCAAGTAAAAGAAAAAAAACAGGTATCAAAAAACCGGTGATGAATCCAGACTACATAACTTGCTATCATGCGGGAAAAGAGGGGGGAGGGGGGCCCAAATATCGTTACTTGGTTTATTTCTGTGCTACAACTTGTCAAAGGGCTGACAGACAACTATAAAACTAGGATCAGTGATACATTACAGGATGAAGAAAATAAAATTGCAAGTCACACAACAATCTACCATGAGCAACTTCATATAATAATCTACTCACTTGCTTCGACGTGCTTTCCTTTTCCACAAAACGAAGGACAAGATCCACTGAACAAATAACACGAAAGGGATGATAAGTAACAATGCAACAAAAGACAAATTGCAGGATGCTTGGACGGTGTAAAATATAAAATAGCACAATAGCTAATTTTGTACACTTGATAAATGCATATGAAGCTCAATGTCACAACATTTTAAGAAGAAAACAAAAAAATTATATGTTTTCAGAGACAAAACCCAACGAGTACCCACAAAAATGTGTGGAATGATGATTTATATCGACTCTAAGCTTGTCCCCAAACATAATAAAGTTTAGCTTCTAATATTTAAAGTCTTGCCATTCACCTGCTATCAAACCACGAGGTAAAAAAATAAATAAAGGTAGAAAATAAATAAAAATAAAAAACATGGAAAAGAGGAAACAAGAACCAAATTATCGTGTTTGGATGAGTAAGCATGCAACTACAAACTTTTGCGTGGGGGGAACAAATAGTCACTTTTTCAACTCATAAACCTAGATGACAGCAGAGAAGCCAAACCACATATGAAATAATGAATATGAGCAAGAATCCTGTCCTCTAATTTTGGATTAAGTCTAAGGACCCAACTCCATTAGGAGTGACAGGATGCTAGACAAGAGTTTGAACATCAGTGAGGAAGATGGTAATAAAGATGACATCACAGACATGAACCACATACTGGGGCTGTGTCCAGGCTCTGAATTCACATTTCATATGCACATGAGGTGGAGAACTATCTGGTGTAATGAAGATGAAATTATAGACATGAACACTCCACTGAGCCAAGTCTAGTCATTTTTTTCACAAGTGTGTGAAGAATCATCATGAGGAATGAAGCACCGCAACTCTACATTTGTGCTATGTGTAAGTACGTGGTTTTACCCACATATATAAAACCAACACTTTCTCAGAACCATACGCCATGACTTGCCCTATTTGTAGTGTATCAGAGCATGCTTGAAAAAAAATGAAAAGTAAATTTCAAGTAGAGATTGAGCTGCAACTGGCTATACTCTTAGGTGTATAGACTCTGGGAAAAAAGGAATATGTGAAAGAGCACATTCGAGGCTACACATTTCCCATCATGAAATTTACCTAGAATACTGCTCATAGTTAATCATAAAAATGCATCAACACTGACAATATACAAGCTAATATTAGAATAAATTATCATGTCATATATACAAGCTAATATAAAATTTTATTATTGTGTCAAATACAAGGATAGCTACAGGATGATATACAAGAGCCAAACTCGATTATATTATGTAAGTGAAAAAATATGTATGCATATGAAACCCTGTGATGATGCTTATAGAACAAGGAAAATGCTGAAAAGAATTACGATTGAAGTTGTAATGAGATACATGGTTACTATCATTTAATAGAAGATATTGTCCTGAATAACTTGAAGAGAGAGAGAGAGAGAGAATAAAAACAGAGAAGGAAAATGAAAAAATTGGTATGGTAGGATAAGGCTTTGTCAAGTATTCAAGTCTCTTAATCTCACAATAAGAAAAGCTACCTTTGGAGTTCTGTATCTGCATTCTTATCAACACATCAGCTTGTATCCCAGCTTATCTATTCTCTATCAATTAAAGGGACAAAGGAGTAATAACTGGCGGACCCCTTTATTTCCTCTTATACAAGTAATAGACCTATTCCTATTTACTTACTAATAATGCATATCGTCAGGTAGCTCACACATACAGACAGATCAACAATGCAACAGTTGGGACGGTCATAATAAAAATTTCTGGAAATTACGCTTTTAATAATGTTGTTATAGTTCAAGTTCAACAAAGAATAAACTGGAAAAAGCGAGACTAAAAATAAATAATAAAGGTTCAGCCAACTATAATGCATAGATATGATAAAAGACAAGCCCTACACACCACAGAAGTTAGTAAATTTATGCAAAAAGAATTGGCCACCCGCCATGAATTATATTACCTTGAATATTGACAAGAAAGAAAAGCTCCGAACAACAGATAAATTCTTCACAGGAATTTTCCTTCCAGGTGACATTTCGTTACACAACTGTTGAGCTATCTCCTTCAGTAATACCAGTTGTGCTTTATCTGTCCGCATAGAAATGAGCGCCTGCCTCATCGATTCTCTATCAGCCTCAAGTGCCTGAAGCCTCATGTACAACTTTTTGATATCAGGATCTTCCATATCTGTCCGATTTAGTGACTCCCTTGGAGTAGCTGGATAATCTTCATATATTCCAATAGAAGTCTTGGGCCCCATAACACCATTATATGGTACTCCTTGATGAACTGAATCAATGGTATATACTCTGTCGCTCATGTCGTCACCAATTTCAGATGCACTATCCACCTTTTTCAAATTGGAGTAGTCTTCTGTCTGAAAGTACTCCGTCTTCCGGAAACTGGTACCAAGCCTGGGAGAATCCGGGGCAAAAGTTGGAGCCATTTCTTTAACAGTTGCAGAGAATGAGCCTGAACTATCAGTAGAAAACCTCCTAAAATGCCTAAATCGCCTGGGAGAATTTCCAACTGTCACCTTTTCAAGCACATTCTTTGTACCAGGAAATTCACCATCCGGTTGATTGTGTCTAGGGCTCCTTTCCAGTTGATTGATCCTGTATTCCAGATCCTTCAAACTTTCCCGAGAACGCGGGGTTTCACCAAATACATATTTCTCAACATCAGCTACATCATTGTCAATCTCTGGATAAGCTTGGTTATTGCTCAAGTTACATTTGAGCGGTGGATAATCATAGGTGGGGGATTCAAATTGAGGATCGAGGTCAACTGCACTGTTGTTACGGGTAAAGCCACTTTTCTCCCCATCTGCCTCAGCCTCTGTAAGTCCAAAACTCATCATCCTAAGTTTATAAGCCCGGACCTCACAAGAGAGAGATTGAATAGCTTGTTCTCTCTTATACAACAAATCTTCCAACACCGCAAGCTCGTGTTGGTCATGTGCTATCTTCTCCTCAGCAAACCTCTTGAATTGACGGGCCTCCATCTGAGTCTCAGCCTTTTCCCTCTGCAACCTCAAAATCATTGACATTGCCTCATTTGCGGCAGATGATGATGCATTCCTCTCTTCATCCAATTCAATAAAAAGGTCCTCAATGGTTTGTTGTTGGCTGCTAACCATCTCACGCAGCGCAACACATTCATTCTCAATCTCGACTCGAGCAACCTGTTGAAAATTAAGACCCGGAATAGTGAATTTATTGCCTTCCTCCAAATCATCTGCCTTTCGCTTCACAGACCGAAGCCAAGTCCCCGAAAAAGAGCGGTTCATCAAAGAACAATTACTACACCCACAGTCGCAACATTTGACCAGACTCGTCGTTGTTTCCAAATCCATATTTCAATATTGCAGCCAGATTGAATAAAAATCAAACCACTCTGCAATATCACAAATAAATAATTTGAGCAACAATACAGAATTTATATATGAGCTCTCAAATAATGTATATTTCCTTCAAATAATTAATTTTCCCCTTCCTTAATCCCACCTAATCATCAATCTTTTCTTATTAACAAATCAAACACAAAAGAGCTCATGCAAAAATCAACAAAACCACCAACCAAACAATATAACAAACATTATTTCGACAATGTTTTAGACAAATAAGGCGAAAATAATGAAAAAGATGCAGAAATTAGCTTACCTTGGAAGAGTTTCAAAAATCAAAGGGGAAAAGAAGCTCCATGTAGGTGAATTTTCTGAGAAAATCTTTCTCGCGCCAAATTATTTTCTCGAGAAAATACAGGACCGTAACGATTTGGAAAACAACCAGACAAAAAGGGAAAACAAAAATGGCGACCTCTCTTCAGCTTGGAGATTGAGGAAACGGAGGGAAAAGCGAGGGGAAAACAGAGGAGAGAATTTGAAAACCCTAGATTTTTTTAAAAAAATTTTGGTAGTATTGTATTTGTTTTGTCGCTTCGTGTTTGGTGGCGTAATTTTTCAGTTTTTTTGTTTTTGGGGAGAGAGAGAGAAGAGTCCGAAAATGGTGAGTTATTGTGACCAAAAATGGGAAAATAGATGACGGTTGGAAATAGAGATCTGTTGGAAGGAAGATTTGTCGGAGACTAAAACGCGTGAGCTGTGTTGGTGTCTTCTTCTTTTTTTGGGTGTTTGTTTTGGAAAAATAGGACTCGTCACTTGGCTTAGCATGCTGGAATCATTCTACGCCCACCTAAGTATGGGTAATTTGATATATATATATACACACACTAGAAAAAGGTACGTGCAATGCACGTATTGAATATTTTTATAAATAATGTGATAGAAATTTATAAAAAATAAAACAGTTAATTCGTAGTAGATTTTATAAAAATTAGTTTATTTTTTTAATTATACTTTCTTTATTAAAAAAATTCATAATAAATAGATAAATAAGTAATATGAGTTAAAATTTTATAGAAACTCTTTTAAAAACTCTTTTTATGTCAATTAATAAATATTTTTTTATATTAATAATTTTGTCTAATTAGATTTCAATAAATAAATAAATTGGTAATTTGTGTTAGAGTTTTATAAAAATTCTTTTAAAACCACTTTTTATATCAATTAATAAATAATTTTTTATATTAACAATAGTTGCCTATTTATATTTCCTTTTATTAAAAAAACTCAAAATAAATAGATAAATATGTAATTTGTGATAAAGTTTTTCTAGTCTAATTAGATTTTCTTTTATTAAAAAACATATAATAAATAAATAAATAGGTAATTTGTGTTAAAGTTTAATAGAAACTCTTTTAAAAACTGCTTTTATATCAATTAATAAATATTTTTATATTAATAATTCTTGTCTAATTAGATTTCTTTTTATTAAAAAAAAACTCATAATAAATAGGTAAATATGTAATTTGTGATAGAGTTTTATAGAAACACTTTTAAAACCTCTTTTTTGATCAATTAACAAATAATTTTTTATATTAATAATCCTTCTCTAATTAGATTTCCTTTAATTAAAAACTCTTAATAAATATATAAATAGGTAATTTGTGTTAGAATTTTATAGAAACTCTTTAAATATTATATCTTTGTCTATTGTGATAGAGTTTTATTGAAAATAAAATATGTAATTTATGATACAGTTTTATATAAATTATTTTATTTTCTTTAAATATATCATTGTCTAATTAGATTTAATTTTATTAAGAAACTCATAATAAAAGTTAATTTGTGGTAGAGTTTTAGAAAAAATATTTTATTTATATATCAATTAATAAAATTTTTTATATTAATAATTATTGTCTAATTAGATTTTCTATTATTAAAAAATTCATAATAATAAATAGATAAATAGGTTAATTTAAATTTTATTAGATAGATTTTAGAGTTTGATAGAGTTTTTTTTTTATTTTATAACAACACTTTTCATATCTATTAATAAATATTTTTTTTATATAAATAGATACTTAAATACTGAAACTCTTTGCATATTTAATAATAGTATTGATAAAAACTCTTTTTATATCAATTAATAAATAATTTTTTATATAAATAAATAAATAATGAAACACTTTAGATTTTCTTTTATAATTATGAATTTTTTAATAATAAACACTTTTGCAGAGCTTTTATATTTTACTCTGAAAATTAAATTTTTTTATTAAAAAAAATCATAATAATAAATAGATAAATAGGTTAATTTGAATTTTATTAGGTCGATTTTAGAGTTTTATAGAGTTTCTTTTTTTTTTATGAAAACTCTTTTCATATCATTTAATAAATATTTTTTTATATAAATAAATAAATACTGAAACTCTTTGCACATTTAATAAATATTTTTTATATAAATAAATAAATACTGAAACTTTAGATATTATTTTATTAAAAAAATCATAATAATAAATAGATAAATAGGTTAATTTTAATTTTATTAAGTAGATTTTAGAGTTTTACAGAGTTTTTTTTTTTATATAAAAACTTTTTTCATATCATTTAATAAATATTTTTATATAAATAAATAAATACTGAAACTCCTTGTACATTTAATAAAAAAAATTTATATAAATAAATATTGAAACTATTTGGCAGAGCTTCTATATTCTGTATTTTATATATAAATAAATGAATACTGAAACTCTTTGGCGGAGTTTCTGTAATTCTGGATCTATACTCTTCTGAATTTCTCTCTTTAAATCAATTAATAAATATTTTATAATAAATATATAAATAGTTAATTTGTGTTAGAGTTTAATATAAACTCTTTTAAAGACCCATTTTATATCAATTAATAAATATTTTTTATTTTAATAATTCTAGTCTAATTAGATTTCTTTTTATTAAAAAAACTCCTAATAAATAGATAAATATGTAATTTGTGTTAGAGTTTTATAAAAACTCTTTGAAAATCTCCTTTTATATTAATTAATAAATAATTTTCTATATTCATAATATTTGTCTAATTAGATTTCATTTTATGAAAAACTCATAATAAAAGCTAATTTGTGGTAGAGTTTTTTTTAAAAAAAATAGGTAATTTGTGATAGAATTTTATAGAAATTGTTTTATTTACTTTAAATATATCCGTGTCTAATTTAATTTAATTTTATCAAGAAAATCATTATAAAAGCTAATTTGTGGTAAAGTTTTAGAAAAATTTATTTATTTTATATATCAATTAATAAATATTTTTTATATAAATAATTATTGTCTAATTAGATTTTCGTTTATTAAAAAATTCATAATAATAAATAGATAAATAGATTAACTTGAATTTTATTAGGTAAATTTTAGAGTTACATAATTTGTGATAGATTTTATAGAAACTTTTTATTTCCTTTAAATATATTATTGTTTAATTATATTTTTTATTAAAAAAAAACTCATAATAAATAGATAAATAGGTAATGTGTGTTAGAGTTTCATAAAAAATATTTTTAAAACTCTTTTTATATGAATTAATAAATATTTTTATATTTTAATAATTTTGTCAAATTAGATTAACTTTTATTATAAAAAAAAAAAACTAATAATAAAAGATAATTTGTGATAGAATTTTTAGGAAAATTATTTTATTTTTTATATCAATTCAAAAATATTTTTTATATTAATAATTCTTGCCTAACTAGAAATCCTTTTATTAAAAAACTTATAATAAATAAATAAATAAGTCATTTGTGTTAGAGTTTAATATAAACTCTTTTAAAAATTCTTTTTATATCAATTAATAAATATTTTTTACTTTAATAATTATTCTCTAATTAAACTACTTTTATTAAAAAAAAACTCATAATAAATAGATAAATAGGTAATTTGTGTTAGAGTTTTATAGAAACTCTTTTGAACCTCTTTTTATATCAATTAATAAATAATTTTTTACATTAATAATACTTGTCTAATTAGATTTCCTTTTATTAAAAAAACTCACAATAAATAGATAAATAGGTAATTTGTGTTGGAGTTTTATAGAAACTCTTTAAATATATCTTTGTCTAGTGTGATAGAGTTTTATAAAAATTATTTTATTTTCTTTAAATATATCCTTATCTAATTAGATTTAATTTTATTAGGAAACTCATAATAAAAGCTAATTTGTGGTAGAATTTTAGAAAAATTATTTTATTTTACATATCAATTAATAAATATTATATTAGAAAAATTAATTGTTATTTGTTTTGAATTTTAGTATAATTTGAATTTTAATTAAACTCTTTATTGATTGTGAGATATAATAAATAAACTTTTTATGTGAATTAAATTCTTTTTATGAATAAGTTTTTATTAATGAGAGTAGTATAGTATAATTTGAATTGTGAATTAAACTCTTTTTATATTTTGCGAATTAGAATTTTATTAAATAATTACTGTTATTATAATTTAGTAATTTATTACCGTGGAAGCATGTGGTAAGTTTCAGAGCTTTGGGGGTTCTCAAATTAGGAAAAGTTGTGTTGTATTTTGCTTTTCCTGTTTGGTTGGTTATTGCATATTGGTTGGTCTCTGTCGTTTGATGTATTAATTTTGATTTTTATTATATTATTTTTAGTGTGGCTTGCAGCAATAAACTCACGACTCATTTACATCAAGGGTTTTATTAAATAAAAATATATAAAAATTGACAAATAATTTAATATGTCGACCATTTGGTCAAGCACAATTGATTATAGAGTGAATTTTCAACAGTAACTCTACAGCTATTCCGAAATGTTTAGATCAAATATTGTACTTAATTTAAATATGTTTGTTCTCGAGTGTGGAAAGAATTATTTGGTCTATTTGGGTTTGGTTTAGGTTTTGAATCCCTTCCTGCTGCAATCGTGGGATATAATAATTAATGAGAGTAGTATAATATAATTTGAATTTTATTAGGTAATTACTGTTATTATATTTTGTGTGAGTAGTATAGTATAATTTGAATTTATTATATTTTGTATGAGTAGTAGTATACTGCAAAATTTAGTTCTATATTTGATCTTCGCCAAAAGGTTGTGAAGGTATTTCCTTAGCTCTATAGTTTTATAAGAGGCAATTTGAATTAAACTCTTTTTATATTTTGTTAATTTGAATTAATTTAAATTTTATTAGGTAATTTTGAGTTTTATAGAATTTTTATCATGGGATATAATAATTAATGAGAGCTTTTTATTGTGAATTAAACTCTTTTATATTAATTTTGAGTTTTATAGAATTTTTATTAATTAATAAATAAATACTGAAACTCTTTGCACAAAGGCCGAGAAAGTAATACTACACTTGATCTTAGTCAAAAGACCAAGAAAGGTTAGCCAAAAAGCCAACCTAAAAAAATTTAGTACTACACTTGATCTTAACCAAAAGGCCGAGAAGGTGTGATTATTATTTCTTTAACTCTATAATTTTATAAGAGGCTTTCATGTAATCATTTTTATTTAAAACCAATGTGGGACTTTATAATTTGAATTAAACAGTTTTTATATTTTGTTAATTTTAATTAATTTTAATTTTATTAGGTAATTTTGAGTTTTATAGAATTTATATCAATTAATAAATAAATACTTATTACGTTAATTTGAATTAATTTGAATATTATGAGGTAATTTTGAGTTTTATAGAATTTATATCGTGGGATATAATAATTAATGAGAGCTCTTTTTCGTAAATTAAACTCTTTTATATTTTGTTAATTTGAATGTTATTTAGTAATTTTGAGTTTAATAGAATTTATATTAATTAATAAATACTG